CCGCTCGTCTGTCGCCGCTTCCAAGCCTAACTCAATGTAATGTAACTAATGTACCTCCACAAGGTACCTCACCCTCCACAAAGGTTAGGTGATCAGGAGACTTGGTGCAGTGGGGGAACTGGGAGGTACCAACAGGGTCCCAGCCCTGGCACTGTGCTGGGACCAGTTCAAAGCTCCAGTGTGGTATAGGGGCTGGGAGACACAAATAGATGTGTGTTTTCAGCCGCTGCAGTGCACTGTAAATGCACCAGAGTCATCAAGGGCTCCAGTACTTTGAACGTGTGTGGCAGAGCACAGGTTGTATCTGCCACTTTAAGGGCTTGAGCAGGCTGCAGATCAGTCTTGCAGGTGGGAGCAGACCCAATTAGGGGTGTCACATGGCACCCCAGAGGATGCCTCATTGGTGTAGGGCTAGGCAGTCAGGCTATAAGACAGGTCCTGAGAACAGAGCTGGGCAGTTGTAACTGGGGAGCCGAAGGGTGGACGTCTCCCTGCCGAAGTACTGCTGCTCCCTGAGCACCTGGAGGTCAAGGGTAGGAACTATGGGGATGGAGGAGGTTCCTGGTCCTGTGGCATGACCTAAAAATACACCCTGCTGGGGTTGGATGGTATGGTGGGGCTGCCTGTGGTGGGGCAGTCTCCAGGAAATGCCATACCTGTGCCTCCCTCGTGAAAGGTGAGTACGGGATGCTGGAAAGCCTCAGCCCCCATTGCCCTGTGGGTGACCCAATGGGAAGGGGAAAGGCTAGGGGAGCACACCCTGACAGAAAAGCAAGGGACAAGGCCCACAGAGTGGGGTCCTATGCGGCATCAAGCCCAGAAGCCCCAGTGAGGGGGCAGGAAGTAGTGGCCCCAATGATGGGGCCAGAGTGAGAGCTGGAGGGTGCATAGAGTATGGTGTGTGGCGAGGCCTGAAGGACTGTGCATAAGCCAGTCGGAGTAGAGGCCCAGTAAGGAGCAGAGAACAAGTGAGGAGGGCAGAACAGCAGGCCCAGGAGGGGTCCGGAGGAACTATGTGGTCCACGAGCTCAGAAGGTGGACCTGTATGAGAGCGGGCTAGCTGCCAAGAACCTACTCATAAAACCTCAACTGGTCAATGCTGGGGCCAGGACCAGGACAGTCAAAGGGCCTGAGTGCCCACCTCAAGGGACGGCCAAAGCTAGAGGCTTGGAGTCCAGACTGGCCTAGATGTGAGGCCAGGGCTTGTGAAACCAAGGGTTCCAGAGGGGGCCACTGCCAAGAAGGAAAGTGGTCTAGTGGGGTTTGCAGCCCAGTATGAGGGCAGAGGTTAGGTCACCTGAGTAGGAGGGATCCAGGCCAGGGTCCGAATGTTCAGTCTGGAATATAGTGGGGCCCAATGTGGGGCCTGAACCATATAGTGATGCCATGTGCGAGGCATGGGATACAGTGTAGGGTTGGTATGGAGCAGTGTATTATGCCCTTGACATTGGGCATTATATGGGCAGCTTCCCACCTATGAACAACTAATTAGTTACATCCAAAGCATGGCAGGTGAGGCAGGTGAGCAGACTGTCCTAGACAGGTGGGCGGGCCAATGATTGGACCAGCCTCAAGACAGCCCCCTGTCATAATATGTTTTATTTAGATCCTCATAAGCATGACTGTGCAATTCCTCAGAAAACTTTCTAACCCAGTGTAACTAATGTAACATGAAACCAGGCCTTTCCATGCTGAAACGAGTAGAAATCTTGTAAAAATAGCATCTTTGGGGACTATAACTTTAATCCAAATATTCCCATTACTATGCCTTTTTTCCCTGTTATTGTTAGAAGAGTTTATGTGAAAAGGATGAAGGAGATTAAAGGAATGAATCTCCAGTGATGTTCTTGCTGGGAAGAGTAACTCAGAAGAAAAAAAAAGTTCATAATCAAAAACGGGTGCAGATATTTCTACTGAACAGGGTAAAGTACTGGAAAAGAGTAAAATATTTTAATCAGGAAATAATAAAATATTTATGTAATGATTAAGAATGTAGGTTGCAACATTTAAAATAAACGTACATAATATTTTAGAAAACAGATATTTAAAACAGTTTCCATTCAATGCAGTACAAAGATCTAGCCCTGTTTCCACCAACAAGAATGCAGGAGTGTTTTAGGTATATCTTGGTTACCAGCATTGGTAAAGAGCTAGCAAACTAACATTGGTACCCCACATTTTTTAAAAGTCCAAATCAGTGTTATACTTTTATCTAAAAAACAGCAGACCCTCACCTCAGACCTTAAGACTAAGTACAGACAGTCAAAAAGCCCCAGGTTGAATCAATTTAATCTTTGCAGGTTAGTATAAACTATGTAGACTGAACTGAGAAGCAAATGAGCAGACATTTACTTTTGAAATGGGAAAAGCAGCCAAACCTCTGCAGTGGCCCATACCAGGAGCTGGAGGGTGATAGAACATCCCAGCCTGGTGGTCACTGCTGCCAAAGGCAGCAGAATGCAGCCAAGAAGGGCTTATCCTGCTTAGATGCCCAGCACATGCCCCCCCCGCCCAAACCCTTGAGGGGAACTCCTGGAGGGAATAGTCCTTCTAACCCAGGGTCCTGAGCCTCAGAGGGCATTGCCCATGCCTGGCAGGGCCCCCCAATCCCTGGCCTTGGTGCAGAGCAGGGACTTAATAATAGACTTTAGGATGGGGGAGAAAACACCACCCCCCACCCCCCACTGGACCCCTAACCAGGTGTTGCCTTGCTTTCCACAAAGCAGGGAAAAGCCTCAGAAGGGTTTCCTCCCCTCGCCAGGCAGACCGCGGTTGGAGTCTGGCGCAGGCCAGGGAGGGGGTTTAAACCCCACCATTGGCAATGTGTAGGAGGTGCACGCTGGTGCACGTGCACCCCCTGAAATCGGCCATGCATCCCCTGGAAGTGCTAGTCGTGAAACCACAAGTGCCACTGGAAGTGTACTTCCGGTTTCACTGTTGGCTCAGCAGTCGGACACTGGGGATACCCCCCCATCCCTCCATCAGCAATCTGCTACCCCTCCAGACTTGGGAGGCACCAGTCACCCATGAACCACGCCTACCTCCTTCCTCCTCAGCTGGCCAAGCCACGACAGGACCTGGCCATGCCCTCTGTTCTCTGCTCAAGTGGGGTGTGGGGAAAAGCCTTAGAGGAATTCCCTACCTCCACCAGGCAGACCCCAGCTGGGGTCCGGTGCAGACCATGGAGTGGGTTTAAACCCCACCTTCCTATCCTCCATCCTCCTTAGCTGGCTGGGCCAGAGTCTTGATAAGCCTTCTGCTCTCTGCTTGGGCAAAGAGTGGAGGGCAGGGGAAAAGTTTAGGAGGGCTTCCATCCTCCCCCTTCTGTGTGCCCCCTCCCATGCCCCACAGACCCTGGCTATGGTCCAATGCCAGGGTTCCCCCCACCCCCCATCTCCTACTCAGCCGGCCCAAGGAGTGATAGTCCTCTGGCTAGGGAGCAGAGGGGCAGGGTCAGCCCTGCTCCACTGGAGCAGACTCATGGCCCAGGGCTACAAAGCATCCTGGAGTGCTGGGGGACTCTGAGTTAATTTGAACAAGGAGGGAGTGTGGGACAGAAGTTCCATAAACCGGTTTGACCTTAATCAGTTAAGTCTGATACTATATCCAACGAGGTTTATCTTAAACTAGTTTGGGGCATTTTGAAAGTGGTTTAAGTGCACTGAACTTCTGTTCTGTTACAGGCTTAAACCAGTTTCTGATCATTTAAACCGGTTTATGTGTAACTTCTGTCCCTAAACCAAGTGTTACAATTTTGCAGATTGCATTGATTATAAGAAATCATACTCCATTTCATATCTGATCTTATTAAATTATTTCTTTACTCCAAATACTTCCCCTTTGCAAGTCTAGTCACAGTCTTCTTGGACTTTTCAGTTTTTCAGGATGTTCATGTGATGATATTTGTTGGATTTGGTTTCCTGATGACGTTCCTGAAGAAATATGGATTCACCAGTGTTGGAATCAACATGCTCATTGCTGCTGTTGGTCTCCAGTGGGGCACCCTAATGCAAGGGTTTTGGCATATGAAAAGAGGGGAAATTCATGTTACTGTTAAAAGGTAGGTATAACTTTTTACCAAGCTAAATACTTCTCCCACTGAAAGCAATGGCAACATGTCCCCTGACTACGGGCTCAGCCTCTTTAAGTGCATTAACATTGATGGAAGTCTTTTCATTGACTATTATAGGGTTTTTGATCTCCAGGCCTATAAAAGACCCACCACAGTGGGTGAACCTACATGTGTGCTTCATTGTGGAGCTGACTAATTAGCTCTGCAGTAAAGCGTCACAGTCTACACGTGCGCCGGTATTAGGGATCAGTAAATTAATTAACTCTGCCATAGGATAGTACTGTTGGGGCCAGTACAATCCTATAGCAGAGTAATTTACTCAACTGAAATGCACATGTAGATGGTGACAGAGGCTGGCTGGGGTTTGAGGGTGCTAAAGTGCAGGGGGCTGTCTGCCATCTACCCCCACACTTGAGCAACCTCATGCCTCATCCAGCCCCTCTGCTGCCTGATGCCATCACCCAGAGTCCAGGACTGACCCCTCCCCACCAGGCCCTGCCAGCCCAGGGATGCTCCATCTGTGCTCAAACTACTGTGGTCCCAGGCACACAAATAGACAGTATGCCCGGGAGCAGCTTACTCCAGTGCAAACTGTGCCAGAATTTATCACATCGCCTTAATGGCATGTGGAGATGCGCTACAGTGATGATTCATAATAAATGTTTATATGCAAATGAGTCCTCCCAATACAGTATTTGCCAAAATATTTTAACCCAGCCCAGGCATATCCAAGTGACAGCTTGTGTATCTGACACTCTGCTTTCTCTGTTGTGATACCTTACTGAAAAACCCAATAGAGGGCATAAAGACTAACTGGCTTACAATCAGCTCCCTGACAGAGACTTCACTAGAAGCTTTCTTGCATAAGTGAGGGCTCCCAGTCAGGCATGGGTTAATATATTTTCCCAGTTTCCATATTAACCGTACCTAGCACCTGCCCACAAAAACAGCACTGATGCAACTAAGCAGGAAAGCACCGAGAATTTCCCAGCCGGGCTACACCCTGTGACCTGAGAAGAGCCATTGAATAGAGCAGGGTTGGGGCAGGAAGGGAAGGGGATCCTGGAGCCCCTGGATCCTGCTGCAGCCAGAGCAATAGGGGGAGTGACAGCCTGTTGGGAAACCCAGCGCAGCAGTTAACCCCTTTTAGGCTGCATACAACCCATGGGCCACCAGTTAGACAGCCCCAGAGCAGAACAAGGGGTTTACCTCCCCTTAAATTGCCTGTTAGCATATGGGAGCATCTGTCTATGGTTCAGAAGTCTGAGTGTGATTTGTTCTGGACCTGAGCCAAGGGCTTCTTTCAGTAATACCAGCGGTCAATGGGTAGCTGGTGATGTAGGCTGTGGAGTCAAATTTAGCTTGAAGATATGTTTCTTGTAAGCCCTACTGATATTAAACCTATTAGATAGGCTTCTTTTTTGACACTTTCCATGGAAACATCAGCACTACAAATACAAGACACATTTTCTTGATGTTCTCAGTAGCCTACTGCCATCTCCCTTACTCTGATTTCATCCAGCGTGGCAAGGATGTGGTCTGTGCAGGTATGGTGGTAACCTTCCAAGTGACCCTCTCTGTGATCTAGACCAAGTCTTGGACCCCACACTGCAAAGAGCCTCCTAAGGAGGGATTTGTTATTGTTATTAACCACAATATTGGACTGTAACATGCTCCTTTTTCAGTCCTCAAGTGTTATGGTTTCACGGATGACGTTATTTTTTACATGTTCGTATTCCATTTAATTTCTGGTCATGCTCGACTGATTTTGATTTATGCAATGTTTGTCTGTTTTGATGACTGTTGCTTCCCATCTCCTTAAACCCAGCATGATCAATGCAGACTTCAGCACGGCAACTGTCTTGATTTCATTTGGAGCTCTCCTGGGGAAAACAAGCCCAGTCCAAATGATGATCCTGGCAATTCTGGAGATCACACTCTTTTCATGCAATGAGTACCTTGTTGTGGACGTCCTGAAAGTAGGTATCATGCCTTTATTTTTCATAAGTAAGGGGAAAGACTAAATCTCCTGTAGGTAAAGCAAACACCTCTCTGCTCTGCAATGGTGCACTTCAAGCCTTTGCTTTTGTTTCTCAATTGCCCGACTTGCTTCCTCTGTCTAGCCATCTCATTGCTTAGCTTCAGCATTAAAATACTACTTCTCTGTGACACAACTTCCTATCTCCCTCACTCACTTGCCTATTCCTCTTTCTCTCTACTTGCTAATTCCAGGTGTTGGCATAATTTGTGACTGCCAAACACTTCAAAGTTGTCTTGTGAAGTCCATAGATTCATAGATCGTAGAGTCGGAAGGGACCACAATGGATCATCGTGTCCGACCCCCTGACCCTGGCAGGAAAGAGAAGCGAGGTCACATGACCCCAGCCAGGTGACTATCTAGCCTCTTGATAACACCACCTCTCTTGGAAGCCCATTTCAGATCCTGGCCACTCTTACTGTGAAAAATGTCTTCCTAATATCTAAGCCAAATCCACTCTCAACTAATTTACACCCAGTATTCCTAGTCACTCCCTGGGGCGCCTTAGTAAACAGCGCGTAGCCTATTCCCTGTTGACCTCCCCTAATAAATTTATAGGCAGCCACAAGATCTCCCCTCAGCCATCTCTTGTGAAGGCTGAAGTGATTCAGCTCTCTCAACCTCCCCCCGTAGGGTCTATCACGAAGGCCATTAATCATGCGAGTGGCCCTCCTCTGGACCCTCTCCAGATTCTCCGCATCCCTCTTGAAGTGCGGCGCCCAAAACTGGACACAGTACTCCAACTGCAGCCTGACCAGTGCCGCATAGAGGGGGAGCATCACCTCCTTTGTTCTATTAGTCATGCACCTGTTAATGCACGAGACGGTGCAATTGGCCTTGCTGATGGCCTTGTTACACAGCCGGCTCGTGTTCATCTTGGAGTCAATTATGACTCCAAGATCCCTCTCTGCCTCCGAGCTGCCGAGAAGGACACTCCCCGACCTACAGGTTTGCTGGGGGTTCCTCCTTCCCAGGTGGAGTACCTTACATTTATATTTATTAAATTGCATCCTATTTCTCTCTGCCCATTAATCCAACCTGTCCAGGTTGGCCTGAATCTGCTCCCTGCCCTCCGGTGTACTAACTTTGCCCCATAACTTGGTATCATCAGCAAACTTGGAGAGGGTGCTCTCCACGCCCTCGTCCAAATCGCTGATGAAGATATTAAATAATATCAGTCCGAGGACCGAACCCTGCGGGACCCCACTGCCCACCTCCCTCCAGGCCGAGAAGAAACCATCCACCACCACTCTGTGGGTGCAGTCCCTAAAGCCAGTTGGCCACCCACCTGACCATGTAGGCATCCACTCCGCAGTCTGCTAGCTTTCCAATGAGGATAGGGTGCGAAACTGTGTTGAAGGCCTTCCTAAAGTCCAGGAAGATGACATCAGTCTCAGCTCCTGTGTCCAGGCAGTGTGTGACCTGGTCTATCTTGTGGCATAAAATGTGATTGTAATATTTTTCATGCAATTGACTAATATATTTCAAAATGAGCAGTAAAGGATAGTTAACTTCTAGATCTATTGGTCTGAGTCTGGTTTTCAGTGTGAGAGAACCTACAGTGAGAAAATACTGGCACCATTTACATTTTGAGAAAGAGCTTCATGCTCAGTGTGAAACTAGCTCTCTAGGAGAATGAGAAGCAGGAGCAAGCCACTGGAGGTCTCCTGAATCCTCCTTCATTATTTATATACTGCAGGCCTTACTTTAGATCCCAAGATCAGGACTCTTAAACCTAAACTAACATTTTCCTCCTGTATCATTCTTGTCTGTATATCTGTGCAGAATTACCAGTAGGACAGTGCAGTGGTTGGGATAGTTAGGAAACAATTCTCTCGTCTTAACATATATCAAGCTTCCCTCGCCCTCCCCCCCCCCCCCCCCCCCCCCGAGATTCACTTTAGCAGCAAAATGTCCATCCAGAACTAACTTTCTAACACCCCACAATTCAGAAGTGTGCAAATGTGAGATTTTTAATAGAAGAGGATTCACCCACAAAATTGAAACTTAGCTTTTGAACCCTTCCAAGGTATTAGGATGCTAGGACCAAGAATTTTGATTTGTACCCCCTCTGAATAAAACAACGGAAGTGTTAAGGGCCAGGCGTCTACTGGTCTTAGGCACCTAAGTATGATCTTAGTCCACTCTGCTTAAGTTCCTGAACAAACATTAATTGACCTATTTTTGTAAAAAGTCATACTTTTAGCTATAAGAATAAACCACAAAAAGGAGCAAGCAGAAGGAAGCGTTATGTTTTTTTAAGGAACTCTAGTAGGGAGGAATTGGGTCTGGACATAAAGCTTTTAAGAATTGTTAAAGACTCATCTAAAAAGTGCTCTGTATAACTAGTAAAGAATAACTCATGATAACCATTGTGTCTTTACTGTGGTACATCTTTGCTCTGTAGTGGTCTCAACTGCTAACTCCTAGTCTCCACCAAGGAAAGTCAATTGACAAGCCTATCCAAACTCTTCCTGTCTTGAATCCTGTCTTCTCCATGGCCACAATATGGGCCACAACAGTGATAGGGTTTATATTTTTTCCCCTATTCTAGGCCACAGATATTGGAGCATCAATGACTATTCATGCTTTTGGAGCTTACTTTGGTCTGGCTGTAGCCCGAGTCTTGTATCGCCCTGGTTTGAAAAAAGGTCATGAAAATGAAGGGTCTTCCTATCACTCAGACATGTTTGCTATGATTGGTAAGTAAGAGGCAGTTGTTGTAAGAATAATGAAGAGTACTACTCAGTTGTTCCCTTTCTCATCCACTGCATATGCTACTCACCTTGCTATGCTACAACTTTTTGCTCATTATCCTTGTAGTGCATTACTTTTCTTCTGCCACTGCAGTTGTGTTTTCAACACAACCCAAAATTGCTAACTGCTTGAAACAAAAAGGGGAGACAAAAGAGAGACAAATTCCAATGAGAGAGAGAGATTGAACCAAATGTTTATTTAAAGGAAATTACTGTCATTTTCTGTAGCAAAGAAGTTTTATTGGAAAATCTTTAACTACCTCTAGTTAATGAGTTAAATCTCCCAAACCTTCTTGTTAGGTGAGTGATCAATATATCGCATATGAAAAAAAATTAAGACATAAAGAACTTATAGGCAAGATGCTTCTACCTTTCCTTACATTGAGGAGTTGTAGCCTGCAAGAATCCCAAGGGACCTACCCCATGAGTAAGGTATTATTTACGGCAAAATCTTATCCTCAGTGACCTGACAATGGCCATAGAACAAGTCTTTGGGAGAACCCAAACAGGCCAGGACTAACCACTACACTTCTGTTTCTCTTTGTCAGTCTCCTTGAATACTGTCTTACATAGGGAGGTAGAGAAAGAACCTCAAAAGTGCCAGGGGTCTAATGTCTAGTGTAACACACTCTTGTGTAGTATTCCATCACTTTTCCAAGCATTTGATCACTTCCCAGGCATGTCGCCCTCCTTCGGCCGTTAGGAAGCTATTTGTGCTTTGCTGGATCTCTGTCATTGAAAACCCTCCAGTAATTAAATGATTCTTTGTATTCCTACAGGCACTCTTTTCCTCTGGCTGTTTTGGCCCAGTTTCAACTCTGCCATTGCTGCACCTGGGGACCCTCAATACAGAGCAATAGTTAATACTTACTTCTCTCTAGCTGCATGTACAGTCACAGCATTTGCCTTCTCCAGCCTCACTGAGCATAGAGGCAAGTTTGATATGGTAAGATAATTGTTTCTGCCATTGAATCTAGCGTGGAATTGCAAACAGTCACCAGTTTTTAAAGGTATCGAGAAAACACCTGCCCTCAAAGGAGTGGTTTCTAAAAAATTAGGACCCTACTCAACCATATAGTGAGACTATCCTACTGTTTTATTGTGAATCCATGGATTGACATATCAAGTCCTGGCTGCAGCAGTTACTGGGTAGGAGGATCAAAACCAGGTCTCTAAGGGGATTAATTCCTGACTTTCTCAATAGCACATCCATTTCTGTGGGACACAATTAAATGAATTACTACATCTTTTACAATGTGATAACAAAGAAGGCGTGTGCAGTAAGTCACACCGGGCATTTTTATGCATGCAAGTGCCGCAGCACCAGGCACTTTGAAAAGCACCTGGCGCTGCATCACTGCCAGTTGTATAATGGTGAAATGCGCGTGACCACACAAAAAATAGCAGCTGTCCACTTTTGAACTCAAATGCATAGAAGGTGTTTGAATTTAAAAGTGCACCGCCGCCATTTTCTCCGTGCTGATGTGCATTTTGCCACTTACACAACTGCAAGTGATGCAGCTCCACGTGCGTCAACTCACATGCAGAGCAGACTCAATTATAGTTTCATAGTTGGTCGGGTCAGAAGGGACCTGAGCAGATCATCAAGTCCAACCCCCTGCCCTGGCAGGAAAGAGCGCTGGGGTCAACTGACCCCAGCAAGGTGTTCATCCAGCCTCCTCTTAAAGACCCCCAGGGTAGGAGCCAGCACCACTTCTCTTGGAAGTTGGTTCCAGATCCTAGCCACCCTGACTGTGAAGTAGCGCCTCCTGATATCTAGCCTGAATCTACCCTCTGCCAGTTTGTGACCATTATTTCTTGTCACTCCTGGTAGTGCTTAGGGTAACAGGGAATCCCCCAATGCCTGCTGGTCCCCCCTGACTAGATTGTAACAGGCCACTAGATCCCCCTCAGCCTTCTCTTGTGGAGGCTGAACAGGTTCATGTCCCATAGCCTCTCCTCATAGGGCCTGCCCTGCTGCCTCTGATCATGTGAGTGGCCCTCTTTTGGACCCTCTTCATGTTGTCCGCATCCCTTCTGAAGTGCGACGCCCAGAACTGGATGCAGTACTACAACTGCAGCCTGACTAGTGTTGCGCAGAGGGGTAGGATCACCTCCTTGGATCTGCTTGAGATTCATCTGTGGATGCACAACAAGGTGCGGTTGGCCTTCCTGACCACGTCCCCACACTGCTGGCCCATGTTCATTGTGGTATCAATGATGACTCCAAGATCCTTTTCTGCCTCTGCACTGATGAGACGGGGGTTCCCCAGCCTGTAGGTATGCTGCTGGTTCTTCCTCCCCAGGTGCAGCACCTTGCACTTGTCAGTGTTGAAACCCATCCTGTTCTCATCCGCCCACCCCGGTAACCTGCCCAGGTCCGATTGCAGCCTATTCCTCCCTTCTAGCATGCCCACTCCCCCCCACAACTTAGTGTCTTCTGTGAACTTGAGTAAGGTGCTTTTTACCCCCTCATCGAAACTGCTGATGAAGATGTTGAACAGAGCAGGCCCAAGGACCGAGCCCTGTGGGACCCCACGGCCCACATCCCTCCAGATCATATAGGACCCGTCCACCACCACTCTCTGGGTGCGGCCCTCCAGCCAATTAGTGACCCATCTGACTGTGTAGGTATTGACACCACAGTCTCCTAGTTTTTTTAATGAGAATGGGGTGAGAGATAGTGTCAAAGGCCTTCCTGAAGTCCAGAAAGACTATGTCCACTGCTATACCTGTGTCCAAGGATTTTGTGACCTGATCGTAGAAGGCCACCAGGTTGGTCTGACAGCACCTGCCCTTAATGAACCCATGTTGGTTGCCCCTAAGCATAACCTCCCCTGCTGGCCCCTCGCAGACATGCACCAGGATAATTCTCTCAAAAAGCTACCAAGGATGGAGATAAGACTAACTGGCCTATAGTTTCCCGGGTCCTCCTTCCTCCCTTTTTTGAAAATGGGAACCACATTGGCCCTTTTCCAGTCCTCTGGCACCTCGCCACAGCACCATGAGTGCTCATAAAGCCGTGCCAGGGGATCCACAATGACCTCTGACAATCGATTAATCAAATCTCTGGCACATCCGAGCATGAAAATATTTCTGTAAATGCCCACACTTACAAAACACATCTCTGGTCCACCTCGTTTCTTACCCTCCATCACTTTGTGTTCGATACAGGTTCACATTCAAAATGCCACCCTAGCAGGCGGAGTAGCAGTGGGGTCCTGTGCTGACTTGGGCATCCAGTCTTTTGGCGCTATGATGATTGGTTTTGTTGCTGCAATCATCTCTGTCATCGGATTCAAGTTCCTGACTGTAAGTCTCAAATAAAGTAACATGTGCTGGGCTTATTTTTGACTCACACTGAGTTCTTCAATTCATAAAATCATAGAAAAGTAGGGCTGGAAAGGACCTGTAGAGCAGTGGTTCTCAATCTTTTGTGTACCAGGACCCATTTGTAAACATCCCAATCCCAACCCACTCATTCTTGACCCACTGCCACCTGCCAGCAGCCCCCCAGTGGGGTCGGGGTGTGGGGGCAGCACCCCCAGGGGTTGGGGGTGGAGCATGGTGGGATCCAAGCAGCTTTTTTGCAGGCTGGAACTCTGCCAGCCTGCGAAGGAAAAACTATAGTTTTGCATATTTTTCTCCTTCAAAGGAGAATCCATTTTTAAAGATTGTTCACAACCCTTTCATACATTCTTGTGATCCACTTATGGGACGTGACCCACAGGTTGAGAAATGCTGCTTCAGGGGTCATTTAGTCCAACCCCCAACAAAGGCAAGAAACTGGTCTCACTCCTGATTTAGAAGATGAGAATCAGGCCTTTAGTGTGGATAGAGATAGGAAGACCTAGGCAACCAGAAGCACAAGTCAATTGGCACCTATACAGGAGCAATGAGGCTGTGCTGATTGCTGTAATTACAATGTGTTGGAGCAGAATTGAGTAATGAGTCTGCTGGACTGTAGTAATAACCGTGCTCCAGCAGCCTCCAGCATCTCGTGTGTCAGAGTCCCTGCACTTAAAAATGGTGATGGGGCACTTTATCTAAAGCTCATTCGATGGGCTTTAGATAAAGCACCCCTGCCTTCATTTTTAAGTGCAAGGACTTTGATACACAAGACGCTCTGGGTGCTTTAATTACAGTGGCTCTCAGAGCCTCTTTAATTACAGCACTTCCCTCCCCCAACTCCTGGAGTATAAATGCTTCAGTGCCTTTGTGAACTGGTGGTCCCAATCCCTGAAAAAATGCAGCTATTGCTTTGTAACTAGAGCTAGCTGAATCTGAATTTCTATTGGGAAACCCCCAACATTTAAAATATCCAGGTTGTAGTGAAAATTTAAAATTCCCAAGCAAACAGCAGTTTCAAAGAGAATGCCTGTGTCAGGTCAATTGAAAATGTATTTTTATTCAGAACTAACCCATTAAGTGTTATGCCACGTGATAAGATACTTTTCTAAATAAAAATTCATTATAAGATACTTTTCTAAAATAAAAATGATTTTGCATTAAAATAGGATAGATCCCATTCCAAAAATATTGTGTCAAAACATTTGGATGCTGTTAAAACACCTCATTTCAGATTTTTAACGAAAAAATAGTCAAAATCAATACAATCCCATGAAAGGTTCAATTTCAATCAAATGGAATTCCTTAAGAGAAAATATCCCAACAGATCATTTTTGGCCACTGATTCACGGCATGTATTTGCTTGTTGGGATCTTCACCCTATTTTCCTTCCAACTCAAACTGTGTGTCGATGGCTAAGCAGTTTAATAACATCACAGTGCTTCTCCATATCCAGCAATGATGTAAATTATATTAGCATTTTCCCCTGTGTAAATAACATAAGTGATGATGTAGGTCACAGCATTAATACCAAATCACTATGTATGTATATGAAACATATTTCACTATTGTATTTTCTTCACAGTTAATTCATCTTATAAGTACTTACACTAGAGCTTGAAAACCAAGAACTAACCTAAAATCATGCTTTCCTCTGATTTCAGCCATTTTTTGCTTCTCATCTAAAAATTCAAGACACTTGTGGAGTCCATAATTTACATGGTTTGCCTGGATTACTGGGCGGGATTGCAAGCATCATTGCAGCTGCGATAAAAGTGGAACATGCGTAAGTTTAAAAAAAAACAAAACAAAAAAAAAAAAAAAACCAAAAAGAGAATTATTTCAGAAGACTGGCAGCCATTTTGTGTTTTATTCAGTGCATGCTGCTTGAGACCATAGTATTGCCAGCCCCAAATTATTAAAAAAATTTAGATCATGCCCTGCAAAATCCTGAGATTAAAAAAAAAAAAGGATTTTTTTTTTAATCATCTTCTGGGTTATGAATCATTGGGTTGAGCAATTTACATTATCCTTCTTTCTGTCTTTGAGGTCCAGAAAATTTCCCCCTAAACAAAAGCTAAGATTCTCATAAATTCATCTGATTCCAGGACATGGGCCATTAGGAAAGCCACCAAGTCACACAAGACACAAGAAAATTGCTGCAGTTGACAACCCTGTGCCCTGTGCACTCCTTACTATGAAAATGAAGATCTTTTGGTTGTTCTTTTTGCTCATAGGGACATAAATGAACTTTTGCAAAAATTCAATAAGCTTCTTCATTTTCTCAGGCCAGACTTTGAGACTGAATGCCCTCCTTCCCCACCAAGTAATGTGGACATTATATAGCAACCAAAGCTAGACCAAGATGGTGTGTAGTGGGTCTCCACTTTGTTTTATTTATTCTGGTTGCCCTCTTAAGTTTTTCTGTTTCTCTTACTTTAAGCTGTCCTGAAACATTTTGGGGAAGGGTGGAATATAAATTAAATAAATACATATAATCACGCTTTTTTCAAGGAAAGCATTATTCCCTTATATATTTAAGTCTAACCCTCTACCTGGCACTTTTATCCAGCTGAGAGCAATAATAAAAATACATACAATGCAGTAAAATTCCTGCTCTGGAAACTGAGTGCTGTTTTAACTGTTTGTGACTTTCTCATCCCTCCTTTTTCAGGCCATTTCATCCTGTTTCCCCTGGTATGCAAGCTGCTGCCTTGGGTTGTACACTAGGAATTGCACTAATAGGAGGAGCGTTTGCAGGTTAGTAAGATGCACACAGCATGCAAAGCTTATGAATCTTTAGAAACATGCTGTTTGCCTCTCCCCTCTTCCCCCTTCTGCTGAGTTCAGCAGCAGAGGAAAGGATGGGACGACTGGTAGCAGCAGCATTTACCCCTGGGCTCTGGAGCAGTGCAAAAACAGAAGGTAAGGCTAGATCCTGGCTGAGAGTTCACATGCAAAAGAATCAGAGAGTCATAGAATCCTAGAGAAGTAGAGATGGAAGCAACCTCCATATGTCAAGTCCAATTGCCTGCCTGAAACAGAATTATCCCTATCCAAACCATCCCATACAATCATAATCTAAACTCTACATAAGACTACTGTCAACCCTGATGCAACACAGACCTAACACTGATGTGATACCTAGGTGACTGCGGAGCCACTGACCATCACCACTGAAAACTCACGGAGATCAGGATCGGTCCCAGATGTTTGGAAAAGAGCAAATATAGTGCTCATCTTTAAGAATGGGAAGAAAGAGGATCCAGGGAACTACAGACCAGTCAGTCTCACCTCACTCTCTGGAAAAATCAGGTCCTCAAGGAAGGCCTTTTCTAAGCATGAGGAGGAGAAGGTGATTACAAACAGTCAGCATGGATTCACGAAGGGCAAGTCATGCCTGACCAACTTGATTGGCTTCTATGATGAGATGACTGGCTCTCTAGATGTGAGGACACCAGTGGACATGATACACCTTGACTTTAGCAAGGCTTTTGATAAAGTCTGCCACAACATTTTCACAAGCAAGCTAAGAAAGTATGAGTTGAATGAATGCACTGTAAGGTGGATAGAAAACTGGATGGAGCATCAGGGTCAGCGAATAGTAGTCAATGATTCAATGTTTAGTTGGCAGCCGGTGTCAAGTGGAGTGTCCCAGGAGTCAGTCCTGCAGCTGGTTTTTTCAATATCTTCATCAATAACCTAGAAGATGGGAAAGGGTATACTCTCAGCAAGTTCACGGATGACACCAAACTGGGGGGAGCAGGGGATACACTGGAAGGTAAGGCTAGGATTCAGAGAGACTTTGACAAGTTGGAGGCTTGGACCAAAAGTAATCTCATGAGGTTTAACAAGGGCACGTGAAAAGTCCTGCACTTAGGATGGAACAATCCCATGCACCAGGACAGGCTGGGGACTGACTAGATAAGCATCAGTTCTTCAGAAAAGGACCTGGGGGTCACAGTGGACAATAAGCTGAATATGAGCCAGCAGTGTGCCCTTGTTGCCAAGAAGGCTAATGGCATCCTGGGCTGCATTGGTAGGAGCACTGCCAGCAGATTGATGGAAGACATTATTCTCCCCTATTCAGCAGTGGTGAAGCCACATCTGGAGTCCTGTGTCCAGTTTTGGGCCCTCACTACAGAAAGAATATGGACAAATTCAAGAAAGTCCAATGGAGGGCAACAAAAATTGGTTAGGGGACTGGAAAACATGACTTCTGAGGAGATCTGAGAGAATTGGACCTATTCAGTCTGGGGGAGAGAAAACTGAGAGGGGATTCAATTGCAGCCTTCAACTACCTGAAGAGGGGCTTGAAAGAGGATGGAGCTGGACCGTTATCAGTGGTGGCAGATGACAGAACAAGAGGCAATGGTCTCAAGTTGAAGCAAGGGAAGTATAGTTTAGATATTAGGAAACACTTTCTCACTAGAAGACTAGTAAAGCACTGGAACAGGTTACCCAGGGAAGTGGTGGAAACTCCAACCCTAGAAGTTTTTAAGACCCAGATAGACAAATCCTTGGCTGGGATGATATAGTTGGGGAGGGTCCTGCTTTGAGCAGAGGATTGGCCTAGCTGACCTCCTGAGGCCTTTTTCAACCCTAAATTTCTATTATTCTAACAGCCTAACAGGGTAAAGCAGGAGAATCGTGGCAACCAATGTCCTGCTTCTATGAAATGTTGTCAATATATGCTCAAGAGATCCTGGGTAGAGGACCAGGCCCCCTGCTACAAAGAAAAGCAAAACCCCCCACAGTGCATACCAATCTGACCATAGGGTAAAATTCCTTCCTGAAGTCAAATGTGGTGATTGGTCTTACTCTGAGTGGAGGGCAAGACCCTGTATCCAGGAACCTCTGTTTTGGTCCCAGGAGGGAGGCAACCAGCAAAGCATGGAAACGTGGAAAATACCCATAGTAGAACATAGGCCTACACCTAGATCTCCTACACCTAGATCATCCCCAACCAGAGGCTGTCCACTCTCTTTTTGAACACCTCCAGTATGGGGAGCTGGGAGCTAAGCAGTGCCAGGGCCAGGCCCCCTGCTGGTGTGGCTTCCCAGGAACAAATTTGCTCCTGGTCAGCATCTACATGAGCTCTACTGCACAGTATCTACAGGTACTAGTCAACTGCACAGTAGACTGATTTACTGCGGGGTAGCTTATTAGCACAGTTACTTGGTGATGCTTTACTATGCAGTAAATTAGTCTAGTGCACAGTGAAGCATCTTTTGTAGACACACCCAGTCTGTTCTATTGCCTCACACTTCTAACAGTGAAGAGGCAAAGGTGGGGCACAACCACGCCCCTTCTGGTTCCACCCCATCAGGCTTTCTTCCTAGATAATATGTGTTAGCCAAAAAGAAATTGAATGGTGCTATGTAGGCATAGCTGGAAGAAATTCTATTGACTGGGTTTTACACAGGGTCAGACTAGATGATCTATTGCTAGCTGATGGCTTAAAATAGGTGGAGCTAGGTAGCACTAGAACACTGGTTCCAAACAGATTTCTACTGAGGATTTGCAAAATATTATTTCCAAAGGCTTATAACTTGGCCAAATGTGGGTATATATTCATAGGGACAAACATAAAGCAGTTCCCTGACTCCAAGGCCAGCCTTTCTTGAACATTTGAAAACCACACTCCACAGTCTGGAAGCACTGGAACCTCACTGAAACGATTAGGAGAACACGGGTGGGAGGGGGACATTTCACCTTCGTCTCATTAGAACTGATACTAAACAAACCGAAAACAGACTGATCCAGACACTCCCCAAAAGCAATTTAAGTCTGAGAAAGTTGTAAACATCTAAGAACTGGGCCTTTATAATGGAAAGTATCACGTAACTGCAATACTTGTAATATTGACCAGCATGATATTATAAGCTCTGATTCGGTGTGTCATTAGGTATTTCCTGATAAAAGTCACCACCTTGAAGGTGGTGTTTACTGCCTTCCTAAATTACACTGATAAATAAAAAGACAGGACAAAGACCATGATTCTCCTCCCAAGGGCACCTCTTGTAGCACATATTGTGGAACGTGTGCACTGTTGAACTCATGGGACTTTCTTTCCTGCAGGTTTGATTCTGAATTTGCCTTTCTTGGGTCAAGCCCCGGATCAGAACTGCTACAACGACTCAGTTTACTGGGAGGTAGGTTATAACTGCAAAGGAACACAGCCAGCAGGAAGTGCTACACTTGTTTTTCCTGCTATGGGAAGAAGAGAGAACAGTGAGATCCAGCGTTGCTAGTGCTCATGTAATGGGACTCTGGGGATTCATACTGCATTCCTGGTATTGCCTGGAAATGGTGGCCTCTTCACCAGCTCCTCTTCAAAGGCACTATGCCCAAGGAGGCCTTGAACCCTTCTTGGTGGCTCTGCCCAATGTTGCTCCCTCTCTGTCATGCTTGAGATTGGGGTGCAGTGTGGGCATAACCTTGGTTGAAGTAGGAGAGACCCGAGCTTCAAAAAAACCTGCTTTAACTCAGGGTTTGGGTCCTTTAGACCCACTTCTGAAACTTCAAGTGTGTCAGTGCTGCAGCCCCTAAAGTAAATCAATGAGGAATAAAGAGAAACCTTGTTGAGGCAGGTTGCAAAGAAGAGGAAATCCACTGTAATCTGCTGCCATCCAGAGTCAGTTCGACCTCATCTACATTACAGAGATCTCAGTGAGATTTGTTGGCTAAGGGTGCAAAGAGGTCCACAAAATAACTGATCAGCTCTGTTGGCAACCTTCCCCACCGTCCCCCCTGGCCCTGTGTGGATGCATGTCTGACAGCAGGAAGACAGTTTCTTCCATTTAGAGGAAATGGTGTAATCCTAGCAACAAAAAAACTTTTGCCTACAGAGATGCCTTTACAACAGGGGTGGGCAAAATGCAACCCGCGGGCCAGAAGCAGCCCTCCAGGCTATTCTATCTGGCTCACGGGGCCCCTAAAAATTTTAGAAAATTAATATTTATCTGCTCCTGGCTGCCTGTCATGTGGCCCTTGATGGCTTGCCAAAACTCAGTAAGTGGCCCTCCATCCAAAATAATTGCCTGCCCCTGCTCTACAATGATGGCATCTCTGTAGGCAGAATGATGGCATCTCCATAGGTCAGATAGCCCTGACCCCATAAGAGCTGCTTCCCCAGTGAAAGTGGCAGCACCTCTATAATAGGGTTTTAATGTCCGAGACATCTGTCTGTTCCTGACTGAAAAATAAAGAAAAATCTTTTTTTCTGATTTCTTTCCCACATGACAGAAAAATCTTGCAAACAGGGATCATTGGAAAACAATATATTTGTCTTGTCTACCTTAATTTTCCCAATATAGATGGAGGAAAGGGTTTCTACTGAACATTTTGTGTTATGATTCAGAAAGTAGGGTCCAGTTACTATCTCTATATGTATAACTCTGGGGAAGCACCTTATTCTATATGAGCCTCAGTTCCCTATATATTAAAGAAATGAGCTGAAAGTCACACGATTTTTTCTTTATCTATTTAGATGGCACATTCTCCAGGAAAGGCACTGTTTCATATTCTGCATTTGTCCAGTGGGGTTGTCCCAATAACCAGCTTCCTTATTCCATTCCCAAACTGAAAAAAAATAATAATAATTTCAGATAATCTCTCAAACCAAAAGATTTTGAATAATTTTTAGAAAAAAAAGCATTTTTTTTTTCCCACCTGAGTGGTACCTAAGGACCTTGTTTCATTTCAGGGTGGTATTTTCAAAGAAAGTTAGAGTAGATTCAAACGCAATTCCTTTGAATTACATGGGGAGTTGAGTACCTAATTTCTTTGTAAACCCTAGCCAGAATGATTGATATGCACATGGATATATTACATGTTATGAAGCATTTCCTTTGTCAGGACATTGGAAATCTTCTAAAGATGCACTGAATGGCTCAGAATTTCTCCCCAAACAGCAGGGAAGCAACATGATGTTTTCAATAATTAAATGCAAAAGGTGAATGGAAAGAATGATATTTATATTGCACTAGGAAGTAATTATGCACGTGAACTGCAGAAAGATCAAAGGATGTGAGCTGGGGTTAATTTTTTTTTTTTTTTTTTTGGTTTTCATACCAGGTCCCAGAAGAAAGCAAACAACTTGTTGAAATGCCCAGTGAACAAGACACTCAGAGATTTAATGTCAACATGTAGATGGATTTCTCCATTATTAACTTCAGTCCTAATGGTGTCGTTTTCAGACATTAGTGGTTTTCAATAAGGAAAGGAATGTAGAGAGCTATAGTTTTGTAAGAAATAAGCTTTAATAAGAATATATTGTCCCTACCAAATTTGATATACACAATGCATATTTCAAGCTCTGTTGAATTTAAAAGGCTTTCAAATGCATATGCTTACCTAACATTGAAAGCAGCTAACTGGATCGCAATATTCCCTGTATTTCAGCAATCTATCATAAGTCAAATTCTTTAAGTTGATTTCCCATCTGTGTGTTTCTACCATGCTTAGCCCCAAGGTTTCATGTTTAGCAGCAAGTATTCAGAATCTGGAATGAGACATTTCTTTAGCAAGACATGGAAAAGTTATACTAGGAAGAATTTCATACCCTCTAATCTAGTACAGGTAAACTGAGAGAGAATAAAGAAAAGATCTTTAGGTGTTTATTTTGGTTTCCAAAATGTTTTTTCACTAAAGACCTCCACATGAAACTGTTATGAAACCATGCCTACCTAATGAGTCATAAACCCTGTTGTGGATTAAAAACTGGTCAAGTAATAGGAAATAAAGTGATAGGAATTCACAACTAATTTTAAGTGCAAGAAATGGCTATCAGTGAGGTATCTAACACAGACATACGACAACTCTGTCTTCAGTATACTTTTAATGATCTCAGTGAGTAAGTGAATGGGAGGTGGGACAAAATGTATTATTAACACAATAATTTAGGTTAGTCAAAACCAGGTGAGGCAATTCAGAAGCACCTTCTAAACCCTATGTAACTGTGCAACATTTTGTCTGATGAAATCCAGCATTGGCAAGCAGAAGATGATATTTATTGAGAGGCAAGCCTAAAGACTGACTTGTGTTCATTGACTGGTTCTGAGCTCACCACACACGCAAGAACAAGTTCTGGATTGTTAAGCGAGTCATTGAAGAAACATGCGTGTCAGAGCAGAATCACATGTAAAATGCCTATGTGTCGCATCTTGAAGTCTGAAAGTGCTGCATCTGGAAAAACAACCCAGCCAGAAACAGGACAAAGGGCCAAGAGGACCAACAAAAATTAATGAGGCTCCATGAAATTCATTAAGAGGAGAACTTAAGGGGAAGGACAAAATAAAAAGAAGTTTTGAGCAAGCATAAAACAGTACTACAGAGAAGCTCAGTTACGCAGTCCTGTTTATTATGTGTCATTGTCCAATTAATAAGAGGCTTCCTGATTAAAATGAAAGGGAGCAAATTTAAAAATGCAAGAAAGTGTGTAGGACTAATGAATAGAGCTCATTTCTTCAAGCTATGACTTATGCCAAACAGAAGCACCAATTAGATTTTAGAAAGTGGTGTGAGCAGGATAAAGCAGATGAGCTTGCAGTGGCCTTATAAGGACTGTTTTGCTTTAGGGCTGACAACTGAAAGTTAGTGAGGAAGTCCTTCCATAAAGCTGAATTTCATTTAAAAAGTACTTACATGTTCTTCTGAATCGTCCAATGCAGGGCACCTTAAGATAGGATACTGGGTTAAACTGACCAGTAAGGTAAAACCACTGTATAGTGTTTTATATATAAGCTTTTATCTATGAATGAAATATCTAATTGTTTAAATACATTTTAATACTTTTTTTAGAAATGTTCATTTTTGCAGATAAGCAACTGTGTTTTTCTTTTTTGTCTGAATGCAGTCTTGTATCCAAATACTCTAGGAAATGTATTGTCTTTAAATTGGGAAAGGCAATAGGAGCAGGTCAATATAAATGTTGAATGTTTAAAGATTTTATAAATACTCTGTGTCTACTTTAGAACAGCAAAGCTGCCCATGGATGGGCTGATTGCACACATTTTATACACAATGGATGAAATTCACTCCTGTGCAGAAAGGTAGCATAAAGCCACTCTTAACTCCCACTGGGCTCATCTACGTAAGATGCTATGTTGGTGTAGTGACAAGCTATGGTACCGTAGCGTTGGCGGGCACAAATCGTGATGCTGACACTACTGCGCAGTATCAACAAGCTACTGTATAGTAGCTCATTGCTACTGCACAGTAGCATGGGGGAAGACCCATGAAGCATCAGGACTGTGCAGTAATCCTAGTTAAGCAAGTACTAAAGGATTGTGCAGTAACAACTGTGCAGTCCAGTGGACATGTAGATGCACCCACTGACACCCCATTTTGAGGATTTCAGTGGGTTTTAAGTTCACCTTCTGTCTAACGGTGAATTTTACCCATTTGAAGTATTGACTTTCTGAGACTAGCAAAAGTACATGCTACTCATTGGGCATGTCTGCACAAGATGTTTACTGTTGAGTAGACAAATTAGTTTGACAGTAAACGTCTCATTTCTACATGTGCAGCCCTATTAGGCTGCAGGAAACTAATTAACTCCATAGCAGGGTAGTACTTGTAAATACAAGTACTATCCTGCTGTGGAGTTTTTTACTCCACAGCACAACATGTGTAGACACTAAAGGCTCTGGCTGAGGTGAAGGTGTTTCAGTGCAGGGAATACCTACTAGTTAGCCCCATACTGGAGCATCCTCATGTCCCAGCCAACCCCTCCGCAGCACATTGAGCCACATCAAAGCAGCCCTGGGCTGGCAGGCTGAACCCCCAGACCTCTGCCAGCCAATGCTGCTCTGACTGTGCTCAACATGGTGCAATCCTGGGTGCATATGGAAACACAGTGCCCAGGAGCAAGAATCTCTGGTGCAGTAAGTGCCAGGGTTTATGGCATTGCCTAAATAAGCAGATGTGGACTTGCCCAGTCTAAGAAAGTCTCAAAGAATAATCCCAAAATTATAATGTAACGGGCTGGAACGGGCTCCCAAGGGAGGTGGTGCTCTCCCCTACCCTGGGGGTCTTCAAGAGGAGGTTAGATAAGCATCTAGCTGGGGTCATCTAGACCCAGCCCTCTTTCCTGCCTATGCAGGGGGTCGGACTCGATGATCTATTGAGGTCCCTTCAGACCCTAACATCTATGAATCTATGAATCTATGAATGAGAAAGCACAATTCATCAATTTGAAAGGAACTGCAATCAATAAAATAAATATTTTTATCCCTAGACTCTGGTTCTGTTTGCAGACTCTTTTACACTAAGAGTTGGGAGCTAACACCTGTGTGAGTGTGCGTGCGTGCGTGCATGTGTGTGTGTAAATATTGGTACAACCATGAATTTAATGACATATCCTATTCTGGTGTCTACATTTTAAAAGATTGTTGGAAAATTGGAGGTGGCTTGGAGGGAAAGCTTCAAGAATGATTCAAAGTGCAAAAAACATTCCTTAAATTGAATTTAAAAAAAAAAAAAAAAACAAGAAACACAGGAATCCATGACTGGAAGGGACCTCTTGAGTCAAGATAATCAAAGTACTATGATTATCTTGCTGTTGAAGATAATCATAGTACTTTGCATCATTCATTTAATCATCAAATAGAGTTTTGACCCCATTTCTCCAGCTGAAAGGTTGTTCCACACCTCATTGTTCTGATGTATAGAAACCTTATAATTTCCAGCTTTAATTTATTTATTGTCAGTTTATATACACTTTACTCATGCATTGCTTACGTTGCCATTCAGCTCCCTCTCTACTGTTCATATAAATACAGCTGTAACATTGTAGCCATGATGGAATGTGACCTTATGTCCAACACTTCTCCTAACTATGCTGTTGCTCCAATTAAAGAAGTCACAAAAAAGCTATATTAATAGGATGCATTTCTGCTATTAAAAAACCCAGTTCTGACCAAATAGGGAGGTGAAAGTATAAAATAAGTAGGTAGGTAGATAGGTAGATAAAGATGCTGAGACAAGGGATATAAATCATCAGTTTGAAAATACAAAAAAATAACAATGGAAATAAGAGGAATCAAAAATAGTAAAAAATTCTATGGCCAGTAGCAATAAGAAATAATACAAATATCTCATCCACAAATGCATTCCTAACAATGGTACCACCCTGACACTTGGTACAAATGGTCAAATGGGCCGTCGAGACATAGAAAATGCAGAATTATTCAAGAAATATTAGTTTTGTATTTATTCTGAGATTAACTATTCATATTATATAATGAATCATGTTTTCTTCTATTAGCACTAGGGAGGATGTTTTAAAAAATGATAAAGATAAACTTATAAATCTGAAGGGCAGGATGACAAATATTTAGTCTATTTAAAATGCTATTAAGGAGCACTTTGTACTATTAAATATTGGTAAGTAGGAGTAAATGACAGAGTAGCAGCTGCTGCAGCAGGAGCCTGTGTGGGGATAGGGGGAACCTGGGAGAAGAGAAAGTGCCTATAACCAACAGATAGGGATCCTCATATACAGCACTAAAGTGTTCATTTCATTCTTCCTCTGCTGGCTGAGACAGAAACTCCTATTACCATATTTCCCCATTTATAATGAAAATACCAGTTTTCAACAACTGAATTTTGTGAAATGGTGTGTCTTGTATGCAGGAAAGTATGGTATCCCAGGAGAAATGTCCTTCCTGTTAGAACAGTGAGGCAGTAGAAGAGACCTCTTGGGGAAGTTGTGGAATCTCCTTCCCTGGAGGCTTTCAAGCAGAGGTTGTATAAGCATTGGTCAGGGTTGATTTAAGAGTAACATTCCCACATTTATGCAGGCAGTTGGAAAAGATGACCCTTGAGGTCCTCTCCAACCTCATGATTATATAATTCCATAATATAATTATATAATTCTGTGATCAAGCACATAATTATGGAACACTTTTCAATACTAAACAATCATTAAGTTAGTCATAAAAAAAGACTTGAGGACATATGCTAATTGAAAGCTCAAGCTGGACAAATTCAACCTACAAGTGTAATTTCACAATGAGGGCGTTCTAGTAACCACTGGAAGAATGTACCTCCAAGCTATGAAGGATGCTCCGGCCCTTTAAATTGTCCAATCTGGACTGGTTATCTTTCTTAGAGGCATGGTTTAGGTCACGCATACTTTGTTGGTTTGATACAACATTCAGTGATGGAGGGTTGTTCCCCTGTGTTATGTATGAGGTCAGAGATGATGATCATAATGGTCCCTTTAGGTGACAGAAAGAGTAGGAAAGGGGAACTGCACCTGTAAGGCAGACTGGTGGGAGCCCAGAAGGGGCAGTCCCTGGGGACATCAGTTGGGACTGTAGGAAGGAGATCCTTGCATAGAGCCATCAACGCGGTCCTGGAGATTGGTGAGCACCAGCAGGACCCTTAATAAACACTACTGGGACTGACCATTGGGAACAGCCTGGAGGGCGCCTCAGAGGAGATGAAGTTTGGTGTACTATTGCTTTGGGAAGGTGGCCACAGGAAGCTTTGTCGTGAGGCATGGGGTGGCTGGGTGGGGAGGTGGGAGACCACTGAAGATACTCCAGGGAAGCATGTGGTCTGCTTAAGAGTTGCTCTGGGCTAGCGAGACCTGCAGGCTGCACTATGTACTCACATGGGACAATTTTAGACACTGACAAGCTTGAAGGGCTGATTAGGGTGCAGAAGCCTACAGAGCTGGGGACAGCACAGGGCAAGGTCCCCTGATCCCAAACCCTGATCACGGAAAGTCCTATGATGTGAATGTAGAGGGGGAGGAACTGAATGTCACCCCTTTTGATGGAACTGAACTCACTCCAAAATAACCATTACCATCTGAGTTGTGAAGGATGAGAGACCATTAGCTATTTGGTACATTGGAAGCATAAGCAGGCAAGGGGGTTGCTCCATATTGCAACTAATGATGTATTATTGTGAAAGTTAATATTAATGATATTATTGTGAAAGTTAAAATAAACCTATGGGTGGAAAGCTGAAAACATGTGGGGCACAGAAGGCCAAATAGGGGAAGGCAGGGGATGCTTCCAAATGTATGCATACATGAAATTGGCATTAAAATGGGCCCTGCCCTATAAATGGTGCTTCCTGGCATCCTGCTGGGGGGGGGGGGAACATTGGCACAGTCGATATCCACTCCCACGCTCCCTTTGGCTCCCAGCCCCCAAAGAGTTTTGCATTGTTTTCCTCTCCTTTGTTAGATCTCAGCTGTGCTGTTGTGCTTAGGTTGATATAGCGCAATGGCGTATACAAGACTATCTCACATGGTTGTCTCATAGGTGATCTCGAGCCACTAATAATATGTAACTTATCCAGGGGCAAATCCCTTTAAGGATCCCTATGCTAAATAACACAGTTATATATTAAATCATCTAAATCACAAAACCACAGACTCATAGAGAAGTCGAGCTGGAAGGGACCTCCAGAGGACTGAGGAAGTGTTAGTAGCATAACTGAGTCAGGGGGGAGGGCAACCAGGACAGTAATTCCAGTCCCTGCATTTATTGGAGACGGTGAAAAAGCAGATGGCATGGCAGGAACCTGCACTGCCCTGGGCACTGCACAGCTGCTCCGGGCATGAAGGGCCAGCCCTATCCAAATCCTTGTCTAACCTGTTAGACCCCAACTCCATGTGGCGGCCAAGGACTAGGGAGATGATGATCCAATTGCTCATGGATCCCATTACTCATTAGCTAGAGCAGGCAGGGAGCAAACACCAGTACACATTGCTCGCAACAGCTTTATTCAGATTGGAGACAGCTTCAGACAAGGGTCTGCACTGAACAATAGCTCTTTTCACATTTTATATGATTCACGCTCATTAACATTCACTCCACCCTTGCTCCTCCTTCGTTCCACCCATTTCTCCTCCCATCTCAAGTTCCGCCTCTATTTACTGTTCACTTCATTAGCATGGAATTGCCTATGCATTTCACTCATTTACATGACTTTTTGCTATAAGCACATCTAAGACCTTTACTCTTCTTTGGTCAATGGGCAGACTTTGACCATGATCACCTCTTGGAGAATCTGGCCAATTACCGCCTTGGGTCCTTCGCGATCCACTGGCTGGGAAATTGGCTCCCTGGGCCGGCCCCCAGG